ATGCCACATTGTATTAGTTACTGTAGCTTTGTAAGGTTTTAATATGATAGCATCAGTCTCCATGCTGTCACCCTTCTTACATTTTATTTGAGCATTCTGTGCTTCTGCATTTCCAAATGAAATTTATGATCAGTTGGATAATTTTTTTTTAATGTCAGCCTGGCATTTCAGTGAGGATGACGTGAACTCCTCTGCTCCGTTTGAGGAGTATTATTACCATGCAATACACAGAGGTTTCTGATCCTCTGGAATAAGACATCTTTCCTTTTACTTAGAATTTTAATTTTTTCCAACCATATTTTACTTTGGGGCGTACAATCGTTCTGCCTTTCTACTGTTTGTTCCTAAGCCTAGGGTTTCTGATACTACTGTGAATGAAATTCCCTTCTTAATTTCTTTTCTGTATTGCTCACTGCCCAAATATAGAGCTACATTTGATGTACAACTGAATATAAAACTGTATCTCTGGAATTTGCATTCTATGACTCTGCCAAGGTCTTTTAATTTTAGTGGACTCATTGAGATTTTCTACATGGAGGATCATGTTGTTAGTGAATAAAGACAGATTTACCAATCTAGTGCTTTTGCAATCTAAAGCCTTTTGTTTCTCTCCCTGTTCCCACCCCAGTTGCTCTAGGTGGAACTAAAAATGTAACACCCAAAGGATGAACTCCTGAGACTGAGGTTGGTATAACTTTACCTGTATATCAACCATTTGAGTATTAAGAAGATTAAGGTGAAAGCGGATCCTATTTCTCTCATTGACAAAATCAACATAGATTTTTGGAAGAGTAGAATGCACCAAGTCAGTATCAATAGATAGAAGTGAAGTCATTTAGTATGAAAAAGTACAATATTAATTTCATACACAGATTTCATCAGAGTAAGTTGTAAAGAAGAGTGGAAGAAGAGATAGGGTTGTGTCTCAGTGGTAAAGCACTGGTCTAGCATGGGAAAACACACACACACACACACACACACACACACACACACACACACACACACACACACGAAAAGAATAGAAAATGGAGTCTCAACTCTCCATCTCTTAACACCAAACAAAGCTTCCAGCACTGAAATTGGGTTATATTCAATTGAGTTGTTGCCCAAAGGGGTCCCATGGAAATCCCCAAATGATTCAGACTGTTGCCAAGACAATAGGTTGCTCTCCACAAGTGACAGCAAGGTCACATTGCTGAAGCCAACACCTACACAGCTCATTGAACAGAGAGAGATCAAGCTGGTGTCTGCATAGAACCTTCAGCCCTAAGTTCTAGTGTCTTTGATATGGGAAGGTACTCTGCAGGCTGCCACAGAAAAACATAAACATGAAACCTTTGATATATAATGCTGTCCTACCTGCAAAAATATGGTAGGGCAATGGTGGCACAAAGCTTGTAGGAGTAGCCGACCAATGCCTGATTGGACTTAAGGCAGACTCCAAATCTAACACTGCATAGGTGACCAAGATCCGGAGACTAAATAGCCCAGGGACATAGGGTAAAACCAAATACAACTGGTCTTTTTTAAAAAAGTAGCCAGGCAGTGGTGGGGCACACCCTTAATCCTAGTACTTGGGAGGCAGAAGCAGGCAGATCTCTGTGAGTTTAAGGCCAGCCTGGTCTACAGTGAGTTCCAGGATAGCCAAGGTTACACAAAGAAACCCTGTCTTGAAAAAAAAAAAAATAATGACTCCTATACTTCTAGATCAGTGCCTTATTCAGCCATCATCAGAAAAGTCTCCTCTTGTAGAAGATGGGAACAAATACAGAGAACTAGAGCCAGACACTGTGCAGAGAGAAAACTTGAAACACACACCCCTGGATGATATTTCTCTATCAGATCCCTCCCCTCAGAGCTCAGGAACCCCACAGAAGAGGAGGCTGAAAGAGTTACAACACATAGGGGATGGGGGACACCAGGAGATCAAGGCCCTCTAAAAGAACTTGAGCAAAGCTCATATGAACTCAGAGATTGAAGCAGCAAGCCCAGGGCCTGTACAGATCTACACCCAGTCCTCTGAGTATATGTTATAACTCTCAGCCTAGCGTTTTTATGGGACTCCTGAGTGCATGAAGTAGTGGGTCTCTGATTCTTATGCCTTCTCTGGCTCTTTTTCTTCCATTGGCTTGCCTTGTCCAACTTCAATGCTGTGGTTTTCATTTTATTTTATTACATTTTGTTTTGTAGTTATCTCTTAGGAGCTTGTTCTCTGCTAATGCAAGACAGAAAAGGTGATTGGGTTGGGAGGGGAGGGAGGAAGGGAGGGTTTGGGAGGAGTAGAGAGAAGGGAACAGTAATCAGGATATGTGATATGAGAAAAGACTCTATTTTCAATAAAAAGGGAGAAAAAGAAAATAAAAGTTAGGAACAAACATTTTCACAAGGTTGGGGAGTTGAAAATGGAAGTAGATCAATTAAAAGGGTCTCGAACGTGCCTAGAAAGGAAAGAGCAAGTGCCAGAACTTAGAAGTGATCACCACTGCCTATTCCCAGCCCCCTCCACTGTTCCCATTTAGAGTCTCCACAATACCTACACTCAGGCGAGCCAAGCTTCCACAGCCTGGGCTCCAGGCCAGAAAGTATTTACTAGCTGCTGAGCACAAAGCTGACTGTGAGCCTTACTCTCGTAGCCTCATTTTGATCTCGGGCAGCATGGTTCTTCTGCTTTCCTTTTTAAGATTGCCTTCAGTATTCTTCCACCTTTTCCTCTTTTCCACAACTCCAGGAGACTCAATTTGCTTCTCACAACCATTTCTGTACTGCTCTCAATTATTTAATGTTTACCCATTTCACATCTTGGCTAAAAGGTCTGCAAAGCAAACACCGGTGTCCTCGGCTCCCACTAGGAGTCTACCACTACTATCCTAAATCACTGAGTGGAGCATAGGGTGTGTGTGTGTGTGTGTGTGTGTGTGTGTGTGTGTGTGTGTGTGTGTGTGTAGTTCTGCTATAGTATTTCTTGACTTATTGCTGTGAACAATTGTTTCTCATTTCCAGCAGCATAGTTCTTAACAACAGCCCTTTACCCTCTTTTAATTCAATTTTTCTAATCTGTTGTCAACCAGGAAAACCCAAGTTGTTTGAATTGTGTGCTCACATACAGAGGTGAGTTTTTTCCTGCCATTGAAGTATGGGAGACATAAAGGTTCATTGTCATAACTTAGAATGCAAGATTCATTTATCTTTTTTTCATGGTATCAAGTATTCTGAGTGGCATGAGAAAAAAGATAATGTGCTGTCCATTTGCTCAGAGGATGTGAGTGAATCTTGGTAGCTCAGCTTTTGGAACTGCTTCTCTGTTGAGAGGATTCATGAACAGGCTGACACTTAGTACATGATGGGCTTCTACTCTCCCACATTCCCTGAGCGCAGAAACCACAATGAAGGACAGAATGAGGCACCAGCACTGGCCTTGGTATGAGCCCAGTAGCGATGGCAACAAGATTAGTATACAACAAGCGGAGCACATTGTGCTGTTCAGGATATAACAGTACGTACAGAAAGGCTGCCCTAAGCTCTGTCCCACCAAGCTATCTCGGCAGGTTTCAGCCAGCAGACCACTTCTGGTCCCCTCCCATTTTCTAACCTCGGGTCTTCAGATCTCCCAGTAATCCTGTTATAAACCCATAATTTCCGTTAAATTGTTTATCAACTTAAGTAAACCAATCAAAATTTGCCAAAAGCTCTGAGTAGAGCAGGTCCATAGTTGCTTATTTTCCTATCTAAATCATACTTCATTTTGAAGGACTCTCTACTCATACACTGAATCATGTTCATCATCTCATCCTTATTAACACAATTATTCAGAGTAAGTGAAGAACTGTTTTAATGCTATTATAGCCCTTTCTATTTACTGTTATTGCCTACATTAATTACTTTTCTGTTGTTGCGATAAAACACCCTGAACAAAAGCAATTCACGGAAGAAAGTTGATTTGGACTTATGGTTCCAGAGGGATTCGAACCCACTGTGTCAGGGAGGCATGGCAGGAAGTGGCAGGCAATATGATGAGGACAGGAAGCTGAGAGAGTACATCCTCCACAACAAACCCTAAACAGAATGAGAGAGAACTGGAGATGGGGTGAGATTACAAACTCTCAACGTCCCCCCCCACACACACACACACACTCATTGCCATATCTCCTCCAGCAAAACCCCACCTCTTAAACCACCCCAAACAGCACCACTATCTTGGAACTGAGTGTGCAAACACATGACCCTATGGGGAGCATTTTTTTTCTCATTCAAACTACCATACTACCTAAGGATTTCAGAACCTAGAAAGGCCTTTACATTTTTTTTTCAATAAGCAACCTGTGTTAGTTACTTTTCTTGTACCCATAACAGAATAAATAACTAAACAATTGAAGAGAGGAAGGGCTTATTTAGGCTTAGAGCTTCTGTCATTTTGATCCACCATGGCAGAGAATGCACAGCACAGTTGATGGCTGCAGGAGGGTGTATGGAGTCTTGTCCCCTGTCATGAGAGCAGTAGACAGAACACAGACAACAGGCCATAACACGGAATGAGTACCACCTTCAAAGGCCTGTCCTTAGTGATCTTTCTACTCATCAAGCCCCAACATTAAATTAAAGATTTTCTAGACATCCGAATGACACCCATTAAGCCCAAACATTTAGTAGACTTCAAAACTTGATCACAAGCTAGGGACCAATCATTCAAAACACAAGCATATGGATGGAGATTTCAGATTCAAATCATAACATACATGATAGTAAAAGATTTCCAGAAGTATTCCTAAGGCACTGTCAGTTCAGAGGAACAGACATTATGATGACCTTGGTGGTACGAAGTTCATGACAAGTATGTTTAGATAAAAGGGGGCAATTAGGTAATATTACACTGCTTCCTAAAACAAGTTATTGTAAATTTGACTTAAGTGTTTGTGTACCTGTAAGGAAATTTCCCAGAAGTTTGGAAGAATAGACAGGCAACATTTATGCAATATTAACATGAAATGTGTTTATTCAATTACTTTACTGTGCACAGAGCTGGTCAGTCTTTCCCTGTGGCCTGAACTGTTGATTGTGTCTATTCTATCATGAGTATAACTATCAGAGACTTGAGAAAGATGGACATTCAAAACGCTGGAACAAACACAGGGGTGAGAAATAGAAAAACAAGAATATCTCTTTCCTAGAGGACATTCCCAGTTCCTGTCTCCGACTTTTCTAAATACTCAATTCCATTTTAGATACACTCACCTCCAGTTCCTCTCTTGAGTTTATGTACTCGTAAACTCCTTGTTGGTTTTAGTTATCTATGAATTACAATTTTTGGCTTATGCAGAAACAAGCCAATATTTAGTGTATTTAATAATATTATACATCCTTAGCAAGATGGGCTCTGTGGGAAAAGGTGCTTGATCTCAAGACTGATGGCTTGAGATCAATCTTTTGGTCCTACTTAACAGAAGGAAAGTACCTATTCAGTAAGCTACCTTCTGCTCTCTACACATGCATGCTGGACACGCACACACAGCCTCCTCACATATAGATAGATAGATAGATAGATAGATAGATAGATAGATAGATAGATAGATAGATAGATAGATGATAGATAGATATAATACACATGATTATATTTTACAATAAAATATATTACAATAAAATAATTGTTGCAATATGTTTTATACTGAAAATCTGCACTGTATTTATTTGGGTTGGGTGGGAAAAACAAATCTTCTAAATTTTAAGTTTGTTCCATGGGATAGTAGAATGATTTTTCCTATATTTAGCAAGAAGTGGCAAGAGTCGATCATTTAAAACCTGGTTTTGAATCATTTCATTTATGTTTCTCACACTCCAAGGGAATTATAACTGGCTGCCTATTCCCTTCTTCAAAGTGAAAATGCCCTAACAATGTCTGCATTTGGGTTTTCTAAGTTTAGGACAGAGGATAATTTGCTTTTATAAAAGCATATCCAGGAACACACATGGTGCTACTCTATTGCTAATTCAGGCTAAAGACCTATGATGGGCTTACTATCTTGAGAAGTCAATATTATTAAATAATGAATATAAAACAGGATAAAATTAGGAGAGGAAAAGAAGATAGTAAACCTATGAGATTTTTTTTCTAGAAAATAGAACCCACAAAATTGTTATAAGAGAGATTTGCAGAATAATCACCCGTATCATCTTGTTAAAATGAAAAACGGTCCATGTCAGTCACATGGGTTTTAATCCATAGCTGTTGGACCTCTAGCTTTTCAGGCTACAGTCAAGCATCATGGTCAGAAGCATATACTGGAGCAAGCAGCTCACATCCTGGCAACCCAGAAGTAGACATTGATGGAGTTCCTGTTTTTTTTAATCCATGTCCTGCCACTTAGATTAACTTCTCATTCCATACTTTAAAGTGCTGAGACTTTTACATCCTTGAAGAGATGGTAGTAAGCTATAAACTATGGCAGAGGAGGAGAAGGAAGAGAAGAAACAAAGGACATTCAACTTTTATAGGGTAAACATCTAAGAAAAACATTTGCTCCGTCACAGATAAAAGTAAATTCAACACACAGTCAAGATTAACAAGATTCTAATTGCATACATATAAGCATTTAAACAATGAGAAAAAATATATAATAAGTGACCCGAGAAACATATTTAAAACATGTAGGTCATGCCAGTATGAAACAGCTTAACTGGAACATTTTCTTATGGACTTGGCACTATATAACGAAAAGATATAATCTACTAGAATGGTGAGACTGATCTGAATCCCATTCTTGCCTTGTGCTTACTAGCTGTCTGCACTTAGACAAACCTGAATTCTCTCAACCAACTGTGCCCACTGCTCCCACTTGGATTTGAAGAGTCTCCCAAACACCTGTTGGGTACAGGCTTGGTCCCATTTTCTTTATATAGTAAAAATTCTTGAGAGGTAGAGCCTAGGGAGGTTTTAGCATATTGGGATCATGCCCTTGCAGGAGGGCAGTCCCTTCTCCTGTTTCACATCCGGCATAAAGTGAGCAGCTTTACCTCACAATGTTTTCCCATTCTCCACCATGATGTGCTGACCCTCAGAGACCCAAAGCAACATGGCCAACCTCTTGATGACTTAAACCTCCAATCTGTGAGTCAATTAAACAAACATTTTCTCTTCACCTCAGATATCTACCATACTAGAGGAAAGCTAAAACACCCATCTACCAGACCAAGCTCTTGATAGAATCCAAGGATGTGGAAATTGACTTCTGATCCATTAAAAAAAAAGTAGGTAATGTAAATAGATGGTGTAATGAGTACTGCCACCTAAGGAGAGTGTTTTACACTCCATGTGACTTAGTTTGCAGAACCATGGGCATGAATTTTATACAGCCACAAATGATTTTTCAACATGGCCAAATGGATCTTATCGGTTGGTGGCCAGGTAATATATCATCATTGATGTGTGGATTGGTGTTCAGAAATCTATTAAATTTGGTGACATTGCTAAACGTTTCTTGAGCTGCTTTTCCACACAGAAATTGAGGTGTGGAATATCTAATGCAGACCTTACCTCATGGGGTTAGAAATAAAGTGAATTAGCATGTATGAACGTGCTTCATTAAAAAAATACACAATTTTCCAAATAGGTGTCAGGTGATGGGAGAAGGTTTCTAAGGTGCATATTTGAGATTGTCGTAAAGGAGAAATCCTGGCAGCTGTAAAGCAAAAATAAAACTTTTAATTTAGAAATATGAAATAATGGATTATTTTTATCAAAAACTTACTTTCTTCTACTTTGGGTGGCATGCATAGTGCTCTCATTGCAACGTGTTTAGAAGGTTGTAAGGAGACTGATCAAAAAATACATTAAACAGATTTGGAAGGGGTGGGTATAAAGTTAGATTTTCTGAGTCATGAAAACATCAAATAGCGCTTCCTGAAAGGTGTAACTTTATTTAAAACTCAGCTGCTGCATTTGCTACCATGGTGCAGACACCTCTGAATCAACCATCTATGTTGACAAATTGTTATGCTGACAAATTCTCACATCTACTGAAAGTTTCGATTTTGTAAACAAGTAAGTGGGTTCTTGATGATCCAGCTCATATCCTGGACTGGAACTTTGGGAACTAGAATCTTGGCTTGAGTGACCATGTATTATTCATTTCTCACATTAGAAAAGCAGAATCAAATATTTATCACCAAATCAGAAAGCCACTGGAAGCATGAATGTAATATTGTATCTAAGATCTTGCCTCAAGCTTGGGAAACACAAACAATGCCTGCCGGGCTCCATTGGCTTGAGTCCCTGAGAGAGAATGGAAATATGTGTTTGTTTGGCTTTCTTCATAACACTAGGAACTTTAAAACTACCCCCACACCCACCAAGAGCACAAACACAGAACAGTCAGAATATTTGATGTACACAGACATGAGTGAACCTGTAGGCACACATGTTGGGTCAAAACCAGTCATATAAGCTCTGACCCTGGGATATCCCACGGTAGTCCCTATCACACATGCAAAAGAAATGGACATGTGGCACAGCCTAAGTCTGGGTGAAAATCACCAGCTATCACATAAAGGAAGTAGGTGAGTTATGTCTGTATATTGTGGACTGCAACAAGGAAAGCTCCAGTCGTCACAGGAAGACACATGAACTTTAAAACAGAGTACAAAGGGCATATGTCTAAAAGGCTTGACATCCTTCTCCACAGATACTTGCTCAGTCATGTTCATTGCTGCTCTAGTCACAATAGGCAGGAAATGAAAACAACCTAACCTTCTTTCAACAGATGAACGGATAATGAATACGTGGTGCACATGCACAATAGAATACTCTTCAGGTGTAAGGGAAAATGAAGTCATAGAATTTTCAGGTAAATGGATGAGTGGATCTAGAAAAGGTTATATTGACTGAAGTAACCCAGACCCAGAAAGACAGAAGTCACACGGACTTGCTCATCTGTGATCCCCAGCTCTGAATCTTCAGGTGTGAGTATACAATATGGAGTGACCCGAGAAACCAGGAAAGTAGAAAGGAGCCATTAGGGGTGGTCTTGAGAGGGGAACATCATGATACAAGTGATACAGAACAGAGAAGGGGCTCCAACTGGAGAAGGTTGAGGGAGGCCAATGCAGAAGAAGAAAGAGTGATGTGGGTTGGTTGATAAAGCCTCAAGGAATCATATTATTTTACATTTACCTAAAATTATACATAATACATATGTTTGTATATACATATATATCATCTGTATGTGTATATGCATCATCAAGGAAGATATGCTACTTGGGCTGACAATGCTCTCCATAATAATCATGTACTTACAAAAAAAATCTCAGTACCAGGCACAAGAAACCTCCTTTCTTTGCTCAGGATAATCCAAGTGACTCCCAAACCAATATAGATGATTGTTGTTGCCTTTGGTTGCCTCTCAGAGATTGAAGAAAGCCCCTGTTGCTGAAGACCCCACACACAATGGTACAGGACTTGTATTATTTAAGAGGGATCTACTGAAAGCTTCCTCCCCGCAATCTACTTCCATGGTACCAAAAAATACTACCAAGCTGCCAAAGGAGGAAGGCAATCACTAGTACTACCCAGCTGCAGTGCCTATGAACTGCAACAAAGACCAGCATGGCAATATTAATCCCTAAATGTAAAGTAACAGGCCCTCACATGTTGGCAGTAACCAACAGCTGTATAATTCGACTTAGGTCTACTCAACAGGAGGGAAATCATGTCTGGTAGTAGAAACCTAGCCACCTTCCCAGGGATAGTGAAGTCATGTGTCTTAGAAGAGAAATCTACTACCACCATTTTGATAGACCAGCATAATTTCTAAGTACATTCTGAGTCTTATCCTTATACCCAAAGATAATTGTAGCTACCTCCCTGATGAAAGAAGCTCGTCTCTTCAGCAAATGGCAGCCATAACAAAAATCCACAACTAGACGCAAAGCAGTGTTAACGTTGTGGGGAGCCCAGCCCCAGTGAATACACCTGCATCACAGCTCTTGCGTTTATGGCTCAGGGAATGTCATGCAAGAGGGGTGGAAAGGTTGTTAGAGCCACAATACCAGAAAATCTTCTAGAAATGGATGCCTAAATGAGACCAGAGGCAATGGCAACACCAATAGACATGCTCACAGGACAAGAAAGGGGGGGAATGTCATGGGGTCCCACCTAGACAAAGAGTTACTGGCAACTAATGACTGCGGAGAGGAGAATCAGTCTCTCCCAGGGATAAGGCCAATACAAAACGGTCAGCCCTGAAACCATACACACCCATATACACAGGCAAGAAAAATGAACTCAGTGGGCTGTATTCAAATATTTATGCACGCTTACACATACATATATATGCAGCAATAATGAGAAAAAAAAGCTATCAGTTTGAGAAGACAGGCATGGAAGAAGTTGGAGCAAAGCACTTGAGAGAAGCTGAAGGGGGGAAATGGAAGGGGAAGCTATGTAGTTATATTTTATTTTTAAATGTATATAACATAAAAGTAAATAAATAACAACTTTAAAGATGGCGTACAGGGGACAATAATGTCTAAGACAGGATGCCAGACTGGAGATAGGACATGCTAGGTGAAGACCCTTAACGCAGTATAATTAAATGAGATACGAATTAAAGTTTACGACAGTGTGCACCATGCAGGCGGCGCTCACTATAGCACCAGGTATTAGTTTAGTGGAATGACGATTTATTTCAGGGTCATTAACTTTTGTATCAAGGAGGACAGAGTCTATGAGCAAACGACTCTTTCCAGTCCAGTGGATGGATGGGACCTAACAGTGATCTGACCTTCTCACAGGTCAGTATTATAAAGGGCTGGAGTGAGTGAGAGCAGAAAAGGAACTGTCTCATCAGCGTGGTCTTGGACCCATGTATCATGACTTCTTTTTCTTTCCATTTCTAGATACTTTAAATTCTCCTGTCTGCTTCTGGAATGGTATTCATTTCCCTGTGGAGTCAGGAAGTAAGAAGTCAGAAGAGTGTAGACCTGTGTGATCATCTTGAAAACAGGAGGGACAGCCTGCCTTCTGCATCTGTCCATGAGGTCTGGGCAGCCACTGTCCAGGTCGTTAAAATCTCAGCCAGGGCCAGACTCGGGCAGGTAGAAAACGGATTTACTATGTTGCAGCAGTCTTTGAGAAGAGCATTAATACCTTTATGCTATTAATGTATTATATTTATTTTATTTATTAATTTATTAGCCAGGTATTCTGGCTCTACTATAGATTAATTATATGACCTTGTATTAGTAATTTCTGTTTTTTTCAGCCTCTTTCTCTCATGTGAAAAAATGGAATAACACTTCTAATATTTACTGAAGAAGACAAAATGTTAAAACATTTTAAACAAAGACAAAAATTAAATAACCTCCAAAATCTGGACTTTATGCAGTGATCAATCAGTAATATAATTCCTCAAGCTGGGAAATTATAGGAATTAACACTAAAATCTCACCATGATGGCTAGCCTCTCTTTTGTGCCATCTGCATGCTGAGAAATTAGTCTTTGTTTTCAGACTGCTAAAAAGAGATAGATTGGGAGACCGTAGGAAGGGGTGGGGGTGGGGCGAGGGTAGGTGATTCTGTATATTTAAGCAGACGCCTGCCCACTCCTCAAAAGATGTTCAGTTCTAACTCCAGCCAAGGTGGTGATGTAGAAACCGCACTGCCAACAGTGACAAAGCTCTCCTCTGCAGACCAAATCTGCAGTGACTCGGGCAGATGCTGAACTTCAGTCTGTCTAGAAGTTAATTAGGTTACAAAGGCTGCCAAAAATCCCAAAGTCATTCAAAGAAAATTCAACAACACAGAAGACAGATCTGAAACAAAGGTCAGAAGATGCAAACACTAATCTTGATTCTAAGAACAGAGACGTAAATAAGGGGGGTGGGGGGTCTGGTAGGTGACAATCTGTAAACTTCTTATCCGTGTTTTATAACAACTAGGAGATGGGGCTTAACGTGGTCCTGGCTCCTTTCCTGTCTGTTGTAGATATGTCTCCACAGGGGCTGGAGCAGAGGCCAACACTCTGTTCGTTACATGTTCCAGAATTCTCAGTACATAACCAAGGGACACGGAGGGGAGGGTGAGAATCTCTGGACGCAGTTCCCGATTGAGCATCTTCCCACTTGGAAACCGTGATTCTGGAGAGATCATTCGCCACAGTGAATTAATCGAATAGATGGCTGGGTTACAGTCAGGGCTTCTTCGTGGGTTCCTTAAAATGATCACACAGTAGCCAGAGATGTCTGTTCCAGGCTCTCAGGAGTAGTTGGAGCCTTAAAAACCTAGAGACCCATTTCCTCCAAAGAGGTTACCCCAGAATATGTGTTGGGTGTGGGGTGCTCTAAGCCTATAAACAGCACTTCACTGCCACCAGCAGGACCCAGAGGAAGTGCAGGCGCTGGGGATGCCAGAGGATGCCTAGTATATGAGTCTTCAGGTGAGAAGCTAAACTTGTCATGGAGCAAACGTCGTTTGTTGTGTTGTTTTGTTTTGTTGAGACAGGACTTCACACCTTAGTTCAGGCTGGCCTGTCCTGGCAGTAGCAACAATCCTACTGCCTCAGTTTCGAAGAGCTGGCAATCACAAACATGAGCCACCACGCCCAGCTAAGCTCTGCACCCACCCACCCATCCATCCTCTCCCCAGTCTCCGGAGAGTGGGGGGGTTCCTCTCGCAAAGACTGGTGCTCCTGCCCCAAACTCAGAATGAGAGACTTGAAGCCCAGATTCCAACCCAGGCTCCAAATACTCCCTTCTCTCCTGCATTCCCACCCTACCCCCCACAGAATCACACTTATTTCCTCTCTGGGCTTTGCAGGGTTTCAAAGGCGGCAGCAGTTTTACAACTGGACTGACTTATCTGCATCCCATACCACTTGGGACCGTGCAAAGTGCAGCTGCCACCCTTACCCCTGGATGCACAGTCTGGGGCTGGCTGGAAGGGTCGCCTCAAGTGAAGCCGACCCAGGCTCTGGCACTGACTTGGTTAAGCAGCTTAAGTGGAAAGATCCCACAACCTCAGGCCCATTTTTGATACCGGGACCCCAAACTGTGGCCGCCCTGCACTTGGCGGGTGGTCTCCCTCTCGGTCGTAGCTTCCAGTGGGGCCAAAGCTCACACTCTCTGCGCGGGGCTCCCCACGTCCTGCAAGCCACCTGGTTCCTGAGCCCACAGGAGGGCGAACAGCCAGGGAAGGCATCTCAGCGGGAACAGGAAGGCTCCCCGGGGTCCTTTAGAGAACTAGAGAGAACTGCCCGCAGAGATTTGCTCCCAGAAAGGGTCCGCGACCACGCGGGGAGGACCACGTGAGCGTCGTGGCTTAGCTATAAAAATCCCCTGATTCGCACGAGCGTGGGGAGAGAGCGCAGAGGCGAGACACGGCCTCCCACGCCACGAGAGGCAGGGCGACTGTGACCCTCCTTCCTCAATGCCCGGAGCTCTGACGCTCCAGCCCTTCGTGGGGTGTCGAGGCGCGCTGAACTTTGGGGACTTGGCAAAGGCGTGCAGACGCCCGCGCGACTGGATTCCCGCAAACGCTCAGGGCTTGTTTGACCTTTAGGAGAGTTGGAGGGGGGGATAGCAGGAATCTCGGGCAGATCGATCTCCTGTCCTTCACTGAGGGAGCAGCCAGGAGTTCTGGACCGTGTCCTCGGAGGAAGCCGGGAGGGCCCCCGAGCTGCCCCCCAGCCCGCGCATCCACACCGCAGCCGCCCCGTGAGCCGCGTTAATTCTGCGCTACGGGAGAGGCGAGTCCAGATCGACTCCCGCCGCCTTCTCCTAAACTTTGACCTGCTCGGGTCGCCCGCCGGGTCCCCGCGGAGGGCGCGCGCGGGCGGGGACATGGCTACGAGCTCCAAGAGCCGAATGGGCTCTTCCCAGCGCAACCAGGCGCCGCCCGCGTAGCATCCTCTACGCTGACCTCTCGCGCTGCGGCGCCGAGCCCTGGGCAAGAGCCAAGGCAGTCCTCAGAGGTGCAGGAGGCGACGGCAACCCCAGGACCCGAGGGTCCCTATGGCCACCGCCCGCGGGCGGCTCCTGAGCGCAACGGAGCTTGCGGGCTGCGCCCGGGGCTCCGAGCGGTTCTGAGCTGCGGCGCGGGCCGACCTCGCCCTCCTCGCGGGGCCGCGGAGGTTCAGGGAGCGGAGGAACAGAGGTGGTGGTGGCAGCTGATCCTCCCACAGGGCGATGTGGCCGGCCGGCGCGGGCACCAAGCTGCCCTGTCCCCGGGACTCCGCGCTCCGGCGGGCGGCGTTCTCCGGGAACCTCACCGCCCTGCCTTCTCACCTCGTCCCCGCTGGCCGCAGCGTCAGGGTCTTCATCAGCGCCAACCCTGAAGGTAAGTCCCTTGACCCTGTTTGTCCGTGGGTCGATCCTCGGATCGGTAAGGGGCCGAAAGTGTGTGGGGCCTCACAGCCGGGTGCCCTCTACGCTCCCTGCCTCCCGCTGCAGCCCGGAACGCGTGGGAATTTCATTCCAATCACTTATTTTTCTTTAACTCATCCGCTTCCCTGTTGACTTCTAGGACACACTTGTCAAATTAAGAGGTAGCCGAGGCATTGTTAGTAGGCGCTTTCTAGAGGATCCGTTCTGCCTCTTCCACTCAAAACCTTTGCCTTTCTTCTATGGGTTTCCTTCGCCTGATAATCACAAACGGTAGCCGAATAGGGGCTACCTGCTGCCATATGTTCTCACCCAGGCAGCAAGCCTGTTCCTTGGATCACAGGTCTTGCAGGTAGGAAGGTGGGTGGAAGTTGAGGGAACACAGACTCTTGGCGGTCCCAGGACAGAGTGGCACTCACCCCAGCATAGAATTAGTCCTGGAACGTTCAGATGAGCTCAACTCTGCTGGGTCTCCTGGGTGGAGTTCCTGCTCCGGTCACGCACCTGCTAGGTGCTCCATGGAAACTTGTTGGTTTGGGGCTTTTACAGTTACCATGACAGAAGGAGTCTTCAGTTCTTAAGGTTAATTTTCCTTCCCAGTGGGTGGTGGGAAAAGGGAAGATGGATTTAACAAATTGGGTAAGACTTTAGGGGGGAAAGAGGGTGGCCTTAAGAAGAGGTTTTTTAAGTTTATATAAGACTGGTGTACTCTTACAAGCCTTGGGCTTAATTTAAAAAACAATAATAATAATAAAGTTTACACTGAACAGTTTGTTCCGTTAAACATTCAAGGCTCTGGTTGCCTGTAAATACACTCTAAGAAGACAGAAAAAGTAACTTTCTGGAAACAACCACTTCTAGAGGGGAGGGGTGCATTATTGTAAATTTCTGGTCAATCTTTTGTGGTACAATGGAATGAGGAAAGAATCAGATAAATACCACACCGTCATTAACAGGAGAGTTCTACCCTCGGAGGGAGGGGGGCCTGACTGCCCTTCCCTGAATTTACAACTCACTTTCACAGAACCTAATAAAGGGTGCTTTGAGAGAGAACTGGCGACATTAAAAATCATTCTGTATCAGGTGTGCCACCCAGGACTTCGACATGAAATCTGAATCAAATAATCATAAATGGGGAGCTTCATTAAAGTTAGGGTTCGAGACATCTGCAAGTCCCAGCAATAATGTCTGAAGGAATTGTATTAGACAGTGTTTAGTCTCGAATTTTTCAATTATCCAAGACTTTCTCCAATGCCACGTGAATTGTTCGCCCTGCGGTGGAACCCACTAGAGCATTGCCTTGTCCTTTGAGCGAACTGCTTCTAAAATACCACCCTGGGTGTTCTGTGAATGTTATCAGTGGGCAATTTGTTTCTTGCTTTAAATATGCGTTTTCTAGGATTGCATGATAATGAGCTGATGTTATCAGCTTACTGTGGAAATGGAAGCAAGATTACTCTCATTTTTGTTACACCCTTGAGTGTGCATTACTCTCCAAACCCTCAACTTAGTGGCACTGAAAACTTTAACACACACACCGAAGCACAGCTTTGAAAGCAAACACAAGGGAGGCATCAGCCATGCCTCTTGGTCACTGATTTTGCTGGATGGCTTCCAGGCTGATCTTAAAGGACCAGAAATGGGAAGATTGCTTGAGAAGCAGGACTTTGAATTTTATCCAGACCGAAGAGCCAAGGGCATATTGAAAATAGGCAGAGATGGGCATTTTTAATGCTCTCAACCTGAAGCCTTAAAACTCTGGGAAGTGCTCCATCCAAGGAGGCAGCACTTTACCGTAGCATCTTTATGGATTCAATTTAGAAAGCAAATGCTTGTGTTTTGGTACCATCCAGTATTAGATTCTTGGACAGTACTAGAGATGAAGAGCCTTTCCACTGTCAAATAAAGACAAAGGACATTATCTCATTATTTCCTTTACAAGCAGAAACCCAATTTGCATTCTGAATAAAAGCTGTTTTGTGTTGAAGCCACAATAGTTTTGTTTCCTTCCGTTTTGTTTTGTTTTGAGAAACCCAACAAGACTCTTGCTGGGGTGATTGTTTTTAGCAGGTACTGCTTTACAAAGCTTGTGTGGAATTGGAATTTCCCCAGTCACAATGACGGCAATATGTGTCTTCAGAATGAGTCATTAGTTTCCCATGCATTAGCTCATGCAATTTTGAGCTCATCCTCCAATGCTTCTGAGAGTGGTAAGCAAAGGGATTCTTCCTATTCTACAGGTGAGACAACTCAGGCTTTGTGCTATGAAGTACTTTTCTGGATCCATACAACAGAGAGTAACAGGCAGATCCCATAGAAAACTCAAAATACCTATTTTGCTGCTCTTTGCAAATCTAGGCAGCATCCAGATCCCTGTTAATGCCTCATATCTGCATGGCCAAATATGATGGGTAAGTGCTGTCCAGAATCTTCTAGCTCCAAGAATATGAACAACTAAAAGGGAACCCAACCGCCCCAATCCACTTGTCCCCACTGAGAGATAATCATGGGACGTAGAAGAGAATCTCAGAGCATATTGAACTGTAATGGACTTGTACTTCTTCAAAAGTCTATCCACATCTGACCTGTCTTTACTATATGGACGACGATGGATGCTTATCAGGGGAGGCAATCGTGTCACTTAAATGGATGGACTTCACTTAGTCTCACTCCCATTCGTCTATGCCATCTTTCTAAATCCCTGGAAGTTTCCTAATCATGTAACTGCTGTCTCTCTGCCAGAACAACTTTTATACTTCTTTGGAAACATGCCCCCAACTGGATCAGGCCCTCTGGATAAGTGAGACAGTTGATTAGCTTGAACTGTTTGGGAGGCTCCCAGGCAGTGGGACCGGGGACCTGTCCTTAGTGCTTGAGCTGGCTTTTTGGAGCCTGGGGCCTGTGCAGGGACACTTTTGCTCAGCCTGGGTGAAGGGAGGAGGGGAATGGACCTGCCTGGACTGAATCTACCACGCTAAGCTGAATCCCCAGGGGAGTCCTTGCCCTGAAGGAGATGGAAATGAGGGGTGGATTGTGGGGTGGGTGGGAGGAGGGTGAACAAGGGAATCCATGGCTGATATGTAAAATTAAAATAAATTATAAAATTAAAAATAATTTAAAAAAACATGTACAAAATTGGAAAGGAAAGGATCTTTCATGGGTCTCCCCAGTTATTAGTATGAAAGAGCTTTCATATCCCATGCACCCATTCTGAACCAGTTTAGCATAAAGTAAGTTTTAATCTTCATTCAGACAAGAGAGAAAATGTTGCCTTTGTTATTGGCAAAGGTTGATGCAGGCCTTTAACTCATGACCTCCTGGATTAAATGTGAGTTGGTAATCTCTCCTGTTTGGGGGGAGGAAATGAGCATTTCCTATTAAATATGTGGGTTCTGGGCTAGCAGCAATGCCATGTATGTGTCTATAAGAACTCACATCTTCACTTTAGTAAATGTTGTGCAGAGCTTTCCTAAATGCCAGAAATGTCTATTTGCTCTGGTAACATTAGTCATGGGTGATGGTTGAGTACTAAACAGTGTGACTAAGAATCTAGATTTTATTCATTTTAATAAATTTAATGATACAAACATGACTATCATTTAGTGAATCTAATTATATATGCATGTGGCTACTAAGTCAGTGGTTCTCAACCTGTGGGTCACACCCCCTTTGAGGGTCACATATCAGATATCCTGAATATCAGATATTTACATTATGATTCAAAACAATAACATAATTACAGTTATGAAGTAGCAATGAGATAATTTTATGGTTGGGATCACCACAGCATGAGGAGCTGTGTTAAAGGTCTCAGCATTAGTGAGGTTGAGAACCACTGCTCTAAGTAGATAAAGACAATAAGTAGCTTCATGTTAAATAAACTTTTAGTACTGACTTGTGGTCATTTTGGGCTATGCAATCACTCAAACTAGGAACAGTCTGTTGTTCACTAAGGTTTGAGATTTTGTACTTTATTGAACAATGTAGTTTAAAGTATGCATATTGAGTTTCCCAAAATCAAATTCACAACGACACAGAGTTCCCAACTCCCAGATGAGGAACAAATAATTGTGCCTCTTGTCAAGGACAGAGTTGACCCTTTTCAGACCTAAAATATGGATGAGAGCAGGAATTACAGCTTTCCTGGAAATATTAAAAGGAGTTTCTGGGCTCCTGTGCTTACATTTTTCTCCCAAACAAAGCCACCCAATGAGGACAGAGTAAGTTATAGCATTGTGTGTCCAGGGCTACTATGCTAGTACACCTCACTTCACATGTGAAAAGAAATTTAGAACAAAGAAGAAATCATCAACATTCATTACTGTACACTTCCACTTAGATCTTCAAAGTGGTCATCTTTGAGTATTGTGTACTCATACCTAGCTTTGATGGCCAAATAATGCAAGAAATCCACAGGAGTCTGCTTGAGGAGTATAGGAAATTTACTAGGATATAAACTGAGGAAATACACTCATGAGTACAGAACCAAGTAGGCAGCTGAAGTCATCCTCTAATCTGAAGGGGAGCAAATCCACCCAGCAGTTCAATCACACCAGGAAGCAGGGAGCAGGGAGAAGGGACCTCGTGACTCCTCTCCCTTTCTTTTTAAGATGTCATGTGTAATTGCAAGAAGCACCACCTCCTTTGGGCTATATAGCCCAAGGTCATGGGTGGAGCAAATACCACTACAGTCCAATATTCAGACCATTCCCATTTACTTTTCTTCGGTCAGTGTGATTTTATAGCTTCCCAGACTCTTCTTCACGGCTTAAGACTCTCAGTTGGAAATTTTGTTCTCCATTTTGATAAAGGCACAGAAAAAATGACATCCTGCCTCATGTACGCGCAGTGTCTGCAACCACTGGCCACTTTCATTAGTTTGCATTTCTACCTCAAACAAAGAAAGATCTGGACCAAGATTCAGATGAGACCTGCAAGAATTCTTCACTACTTTTA